CTTTATAAAGGTTTTTAAACTTTTATCATTAGATGTACGTGGTAAATTTTTGTTTATCATGGAACTTACAATTTATTAAGGTGAGATCTTGTCTCATATCTTTATTAGATGTGTCAAGTATTTGCTTTATATGGCTAAATATAATTTTAAAAATACTGGCTTAGACAATTTTATCTATGACCTAAACCTACCAGAGTATGCTACGTTCTTACTACGTATTGGATTATACCTGGATTTGGTGTTCAAACTATATCTAGTTACCTACCACATTTACCCATATCTCACCGTCAAACTTTAGTAACTCCAAAATTAGTTTATTCAGGTAATCGGTCCTTAATGGCCTCCCAATTTGGTATGCCTGTTATTCAAAGTATTTTCTAGACTGGTATACTCCTTCTAATAGATGGTCTCTTGTTCATATTTCTCAAACCAGGTATTTGCTACCACTGCTAGTTCCACATAAAAAGTATTGGTATCACATATTGGAAAGAGAACTTATCATGGGTTTGCACTACTTAGTTTCTGCTGGCTTGCATTCCTTCATACAACTTATGTTATATGAATGTCCCAAACCTCTTACTTGTATCCCCAGATAGACTAGCTTTGTATTTTAAACCAGATCCTTGCTGCTACCGCCCAGTTTGTCATCCCCAGGTCTTAGCATTTTTTAAGTTATCTGACACAGTATACTTCTTACTACCTTTTAAGTACTCCCTTATATGGTATTCATCAGGACCATAGTTCGTAAAAACCTTTTGAATTGCACAGCAACTACAAGGCTACATACTTCTAGCCATTAGCTATTTTTATAATTCTGCTTTAATGATCTATCTTGTTAAAGACCAGCCTAACACCACGAAATTACTTAAATAGCAAGCTAAATCACTTCTAGCTAGATATTTCTAGTTGGTACCGTATTAATGTTGGTAAATCCTAACTCTTTTTCGTTATAGACTTCCATATAGGTATGACCAGAGCTCCAAATTGGTACCTTTAGACGTACAGGGGTAGATTACATTCTCTATACCGAATAATCTTTTATAGTCATTCCACCGGTGCCAGAGGTGCTTCCAATTCTAATTAAGATATAATTCTTTACTACAGCCCATAGTTGTATATCACTGCTTCTCTCACTACTCCAGTTTTAATAATATAGTATCACTTTTTCAAGCAAGTACCCAATACCATTTCTTTATTAGGACTTATGCGCACGATTCATTGATCATCCTTCCAAGCAAGTACTCTACAAGTTGGGTGTAGAGTTGTTGGTATTGCCAAATATGGAGGTAATAGGATGTTGGTATTGCCTCCAAGTCACCCCAACCAGAGGACTTACACACGTGATCTTTTACTGCCTAAACCTTTTGTAATACCATTGTCACATGTAATTCCTTCACTCTACAACCTGGTCTCCTTCTGGGAACTTCTTATTCTAGTTTCGTACTGCATTTGAACTTTCCACAGGGCTTCGCATCCGATTATAGCCCCGTAGATTACAGAAACAAATTTTTTACCTCCAGTCCACTCAAACTGTTAACCTTGTCTGTGGGGTTTGGAAGCTTAACCAATAAGCTATGGGACCCAAAACCCACACTTTCCCTATTTTCGTTTTACCCTTACTTCTTTTTTTCTTTTTTATTTCTCTACGAGAAAGTGTAATCAAATTGGCAATACTCTATTGTAGAGCGGTGATTCTGACAAAGTCGGTGATTGTCATCTGTTGATATCCAGGAGTTATATTTTCAGAAAGTTGAAGATTCTGGAAGGAGGAAAATTGTCACTTAGGTGGGTCGCTCCTGGGTCATACTCTAGTGTAGAATTTTGGCTTGCTAAAATTCTACTGCGATAATAAGACAGATCAAGAGAATTTTTATTTGAACAGGTATATAGTAGATTAGTACTAGATGGTAGATTAGCCAACTGAATTTTTGTAATAACTTACTGCCGATATAAAAATAAAAGTAGGATCGCTGAAGTAAAAAAAAAAATAATAATAGCAAATATCTTTTTTTCTTAAACAAATTAGTTGATACAGGTAAATCATATCTATTATATATAATCATAAACCTTTTTAGATCTAAAAAAATTAATCATCTTGTAATTGTACCAACTAAAGTAATAGCACAAAATATAGGTAGAAGAACTATCTACTTAGCATTAAAATAAAACAAACTTATTTGCATTATGAAATCTTAGCATATCACTATTCATACGTATTACGTTGATATCCTTTTTTAGATTTGATATTTTACCTGCAACTGCCCAAAGAGAAAAAAGAAAAAAAAGTATAATAATTACAACATAATACCCAACTTTTCTCATACCTTGATCAGAATTGATTAATTTTAGTATCATTCGATTCTTCTAAGAAAACGAATAGAATAGTACTAAATTTATTCGATTCTGATCAGTGTATCGCAAGATATTAATATCTTCAAAAAACATAAATGCACCACAATACCCGACCCTTCCTTATATATACATATACATTCAGACCTCTCTAAGTGCACCCTCTCTAAGTGCACACCCTCTCTAAATGCACGCTCAGATTCTGGCCCAGATATATTCTTGAACTCTATAAATGCACTTTTTCTTATTATTCTCTAAATGCACGTTGCTAAAGTGTGGTCCCAAGGGCGTGCACTTAGAGAGGTCTGACTGTATATAATTTATCCTACCTCGAAACCTGATTTGCCAATACGCATGGGCAGGCGCATGACTTGTTGCTAATTACAAAAATTGGCCTATATGTCTATTTTTAATCTTTCTTAATTAATATTCTATTTTACTGCTTGGTATTTTTTTTGTTTCTATTTTTTGTTCTTGAATTTTTTTTTGCTAATCCACCTATTCTTTTATTTCACTTGTGATGATATAATCGATTAAAATCATCGGGTTTCAATCAGATTTCAAAGTTTCCTAATAAAACACGAATATATAGCTTATTATAAATACTTAGATTAATAAATATTCTTTATTTTCACATGCTTTATACTAATGAACTAAATAAAATTAATTAAAAAAAATATATTTAAAACAAGTGATATTTATAATGCAAATTATGTTTTTATAATCCGAATCACCCGGGTAGCAATAGTCATGACCCGGTTCACAGATCTTATACGGGTTACCCGAGTGATTCTCATATGGGTACAATCTCTAGCTAGAAACTTTTCTTATGAATAATCTCTGGATCCTCTTGATAGTCTTCTGCAGAAACCCACATCTATTATTAAATAAAATCATAAGTGTCGTTAAATAAAGAAATAAATGCCATATAAGAATTAAGAAATATTAAAACCTTTTTAAATGTACTCAAGGCAGCTAATATAGAACCACCAAACCACGTGCTATATTTTCTTTCTGGTGGTGCCAATATTTTGATCTTGATATCTTTAACAGACAATTTTCTTACTTCATTCAACAACCTCGTACCAAAATCTATTATCCATAAATAAATTGTAAGTTCCATGATAAACAAAAATTTACCACGTACATCTAATGATAAAAGTTTAAAAACCTTTATAAAG